TGATGAAACCTGTGAATTGTATTGCCGTGATTATATCTAAACTTTTACTAGCAGCATAAGCAGTCCATTTTTAAATTCATACTGCATAGATTTTTAAAATCATCTTTTTTTGTAATTACAGTACAAAGTCCGAGATCCGGACATCCAATATCCGGAATGATCTGTAATCCGGATCTTAAAGAATTTTTTAGGATTTTTTTTTTTAATGCGCATTTGATTTTTCCCCCTGTAAGAAAACGTGGAGAATCCATATTCTTAATTTCGCTTCGGCACTAAATAAAATACCTTGTTATTGAAAAAACAATCATTATAGCATAAATTTGTGTGATCAATAATTTGGCTGCATATCTGCTTGGAATGCATTTCAAACTGAAATGTTCTACATAGGAACATCATTGATTTTGCATGTACTAATATTTTATATCCCTGATGCCAACCTGGCGAATCATTATTTATTATATTTTGCTTTTCATCACCACGTGTTTATCAACACATGGTAACTTGAGTAACGACTCATGCAGCGATGCCTAACATTTTTTTATATATTAGTAATTGAAAAACGAAGAATGTGGAAGTCTGTTATGTTGAAATTGCGCTTGACAATGATTACATATAGAGAAGCACTGAATAACAAAATTAAAGGATGATAAAATTTTTAGAATTTTGGGAAAGTGCTGGGACCCAAAATGAAGGGGCGGCAAAAATTTAGAGTTAGGAAGGCGCTTGGTAGCAAAATTTAGAACCCACAGAGACTGCATCAGGTGACAAAATATCTAGTGCCATCCCTCAGTAAGTTTGTGTGGGAATTTATTTATTTAGGACTCAGATGAGCATTAAGCATGTGCAAGAATTAAATGTAAGCATAATAAGTAACTAACTTAATACCATTCAAGCTTAATTGTCTCAGTGCAAGATAGATGCAGGACAAAATTTAATGGGACATTTTGTCTTTCGTCGCCAATCTCGCGCTACATAGCCAAAAATGTATAACAGACACTTTTAAGCTAGAGTAAAATTATACTTAACTGATCCCAAGCAATTTCAGATAATGTATCAGACTGTGCTGTTCCTTAACTTTCTGATTTGATCTAGCTTAGTATTTTTTGCCAGCTGTTATAATTACAGCAATTTTATGAAAACTAAAGTTTGAACGTTAGTTTATTACTGATTATGTCGAAAAGAGATTCTAATACTGGAGCTGCAACAGGACCTTAAAAAGGGAAAGAATGTTTCGATGTCCATTAGACAAAAAGTGGAATTGCTGCAAAAAATGGATATTGGCATATCCGTCTCAAAATTATGCAAGGAGTATGTCATTGAAAAGTCAACTGCATATGACATAACAGAAAAAAGAACTTTATGTATTTTGTGTGGATTCTGACAGACCAGTCACAATGAAGAAAAGAAAAATTATTCGCTATGTTAAAAGTGATGACTAAATAATCTGGCAGAGATGCAGAACGGGCGTGCCATTGACGGGTCTGATGCTAATGTCTAAAATCAAAATATTTCATGAAAAAAATGAACTTGAAAACCGAGTGCACATATTTTAAAATTGCTGTGGTATAATGCAATTAAGAAATTTCAGTTGAAATTGCTTCAAATAATACTGAGGCTTCTGAGTATTTGCAGAAGAATTTATTAAATTCGTTAATAGTGAAAATTTATCTTCAGAGCAGATTTACGATACTGATGAAACTGGTCTTTTCTAACAATATGTACCGCAAAATACCTTGGTAACCTCTACAGAAAAGGTTCCAACTAGTGTCAAAGATTTCTAATAATTTTAGCATGTGCAAATGTTGCAGGATTGCACACGTGTAAACTTTTCGTAATTGGAAAAAATACATGACCTTGAGCATTTAAAGAGTAAAGATTTTCCCGTTATATATCATGCAAATAAAAGTGCATGGATGACACAAGTTTTAATGATTGATTGGTTTGAAATTCATTTCGTACCTGAGGCTTGGCAAAATTTTAATTCCTTTGGTTTACCTGATGACACAAAAATTGTCCTGATTGTAGATAAGCATTCAGCTAATATTTTACTTAACCCTTTAAAGGGCACTGGTATATCATATATACCGGTTGTTTGTCAAATTTTTAACCTCGGAAAACATGCTAATTTCTCTACACCAAAAGCTATAATCATAAGTTTGCAGTGTTTCCTTTCGATTCTAAATGGCAGCACCACCTTATGAATGCTCAATATTTTGCAGTTATGAAATTAATATACCTTGTTCCAAGGTATCATGTTTGAAGATTGATAAATTCTATTGGAGGGAAAGAAAAAATTCAAAATCAGTAAATATATGACGTACACATGCTGAACCTTTTATATTTACTGCATTTCAATCAAAACTGATACTTAAAAGAAGATTATGTATATGTTTTTAATAATATATACCGTATATTGTATTATAATATATACCGGTGCTCGTACTGAGGGTACCTTGCCAATAGATGGCAGCACCAGGCTTCTCCTTCTCTATTGTGTGAGATGACAGCATTTCTTTACATTATAATAGTTTATTATTAACTTACAAGCTGTTTAAGATTCAGTATTATGTTCATGAAGGGATGGGGAGTTTACTGACCCTGCACTAGGACTGAATACAAGTATTTTTGTTTCTTTTTATTCTTTTTTTACTCTGCGCAAGTTTCATTCATCTCTATTTATCTAAAATTTAACTTCATCACTTCACCCTTTCCCAAGAGAAAGACTCATCGATTTCAAAATTGCCATCTGGGGTCAAAATTTCACACAATTGTAGGGGTTAAATGTGGCATGTTAGCCCCCAAAAGACACGCGTTGCTTCGTGTTTTCGAAAATCCTAGAATCCAACGAAAATGAAAGGAGGGTGATTGACAACTGATTTGTCATTCAGGAGACACGCCTTCTTCCCTTTGTGTGGTGTGATAAGATCACACAAAGAGAAAGCTCACTTAAAAATATGGAAAATTAAAGTGCACTTAAGGTCCATCTCTTAGTGTAATCACAAAAACTGCTGATTTGAAAGACTAGGGAACGCAAGAGAAATTTAGTGTTAGGTTACAAATGGGTTGTTTTTGAAATAAATTTCACAATTGGTGAAATGAGGGAAAATATTTCTAAGGCCCTAAAACGGGCTTTAGAAATATTTTCCCTCATTACTAGAATGTAAACTAGAATTTATCCAAAAGTTATAAAAAAGGCCAAAGGGGTTGAAAGTCGAAATAAGAGCTTTGAGGTGTATAAAATTATAAAGTTGTTTAACAGCATTTCTTCCTGATCAAAAAGATATATTACAACCTATATCTTCAAAAAATAAAAAAAAGGGGGAGTCCTTACGGTCCTCAATAATCTAAAGTGTGTGTGCATGTGTGTATGGGGGGGAGGGCAACTCTTGGTGTCGTAGCATGAACCATGGTTTTTTTTACACATTATCTAAAGCATAAAATATGACTTCAAAAATGCAATATACTTTCTCATCTGAGTCCTAGTGTTTCATTTTAAATTTTTTTTTTATTTTGCTGCTGTTATATCTCCTTGTAATATTATACTAGTTCAGTTGCAGCATGATACGATTTACACATGTAGTGTCATATTTACTAATTTTTTTTAATAAAATAATAATATCGAATTTAAATCAAGTTCAAAAGCTTTTTACATTTATTTTATATAAGTATGTTCAGCCGGGTTGCATAGTCAAAGTGCATAAAAACATAAATTTTATTTTTAAAATTTTAAATTTCTGCCGAAATTTTAAAAGTTTTTGTCTTCTGGCTTACATAACTATATTCAAGCACCCATCTCTACAGATGCACATCAAAAGTACGCAAAATTAATTTAAAAAACAAAAATTAACAGTTGGCAGCTACCTGGAAAAAAAATGTGGTAGAGGGGCGTTGGTATAAAATATATATCGGCTCTCAAAATTTAGGATTTCGCTCTAGATTTTCTTGAAGTCTCAATTTTGTGTCCTTAGGGTCCATAAATTATAGTTCATGCAAAATTTTACCACAATTTAAATTATTTTATATACCGCCCCTCAAAGGGTTAAAGAAAGTTTGAATGAAAGATATGGTCAGCTACCACATTTCATGGTGAGGATGATGAAGGTGACAGCCGCGAATTCGAAGGCTTTCAGATATCACAAACCACCAAAAAAAAAAAAAAAAAAAACATTAATTGGAAGTTTAATTAATCAAAATGTAAAGAAATTTAATTAATCGAAATGTAAGGAAAATTTTGTAAAGAAATGTGGAGGAGCGGTAATAAATGAAGATGATATAACAGAAATTTTTTATTGTGATGACAATGCTCCAATCATCAATCAGTTAAAATACGATGAAATCTATAGTACAGTTCTATATCCACAAAATACTGCTACTGATAATGAAGAAAGTGACAAGAGAATCTATTGAAAACAAAAAAATTTTGATTGACAAGTTAGTTGGGATTCTTGACTCAGCAACTACAGGATTTGAACATTGGAACTGTATAACTGAACAAGAGATTATGTCTGTATGTAGAATTGAAGAGGAAGTATAAGCACAAAAAACGAAATAACTTAAAACAATTTACATTGAAAAAAATGTTTATAATAAAGTAAACAAATAAATATTGTTTTTCCCCCCCCCTAAATTTTGATACTCTTTAGATAGCAAATGCTTCACTATTTCATAAATCACAATTTCATATTTTTAATTTTATAGTTTTTACATGTCATCTTACTACATTTAAACTAAAGATCTAATATCCTGAAAAATCTCAAATCCAGAATCGCCAAAGCCTCGATGAGTCCAGATCTCGGACTTTGTATTAGTTATTTGATAACTGTCTTTATATTTTTATATGGAACTATAGTTCTGTCTTAAAAGAATTGAGGAGTGTGATAAAAACATGTAACATTTGTTACCATTAAACATCATTAAATTTTGCAAAATAGAGTAAGAATTCGTTTTAGATATGAATACAGTTTCAAGGAGAATTTTAAGAAAATATTTAATTTCTTCAGGGCGTTTGGTGTTGTTCTGTGGGAAATATTTGAGTTTGCAAAGCTTCCATATGAAGAACTAAGCAATGAAGACGTGCTACAAAAAGTACTTGTTGAACGATCTGTCCAACTTTCTTGCCCAGCCTTTGATTTCCCTTTAAGTAAAGAACTGTAAGTATATTATGTTTAAAAAAAAAAAAGATTTTATAAATTTAATTTATTTAAAATTCATTAAATTAATTATGCTTTTTTAATGCTGTTGATACTTAACAAAATTTATAGTTTCGTTAAAAGTTTACATATGCATATTGTATTTCCTTAAATATAAATAAAAGATTAAGGGATTAAAAAAAAAATGGAGAACAGTAGGAGAACAGAAGAGATATATATCATATTTGACGGCATATAAGACGCACCCTTATTTAGAAGGCCACACACATGTAGATGTAGAAAAAGTTATGTGTGTCTAGACCTTTATCTGGGCTAAAAATAGCATTCAGTATTGAAAGTTAACCTGTGTCCTTCACGTATAAGACGCAGGTAACTTTCTTGAGACCAAATTTAAGAAAAAAAGTGAGTCTTATATGCCGTCAAATACGGTATATATAATACAATCCTGAGCAATTATATAATTTTAAAAAAAAAATTGTATGCAGGATTTATTTTATCATGTGAGCTGAAATCTGCTTGCCAAGCAAAAATTTCAAAAACATATGATAAAACATATGTTTACAAAGATTTATAAAATATTTGTTACATTCAGAGGTGTAGCTAAAGTTTTCAGCACCTGGGGACACCTAAAGATTTTGCGCCCCTTTCTATGTTCCAAGAATGAAAAGCATTTCATTCTGAAATGTGTATCATCAATTTGGCACCCCCTGGATGCTGCGCCTGGGGACGGATGGCCCTCCTTGCCCCACCCTAGCTACGCCAATGGTTACATTTCAATAAACATCTAATACATTGTATTACTTATTTCTAAATTAGACTCCATAAATTTGCTTCTTCCTCCCCACCCCGGAGCCATTTTCATGTAATAATTATGCTTTTTTTTTAAATCTATTCTAGACTAAAATTTGTTTCAGAGTCTGAATTTTTTTGCCCATTAATATGTAAGGATTATGTTAATTTTATTAATAATTAAATTTTAAGTTAAAGTTCCTTTCCTGTCAAATTTTTAACTTCAACTTACTACTTCCGGCCAGAACATAGTTTTGGAATCTTGCTGAATATTTAATGAGGAGGAACGGTATTTAAACCATGAAGTTACTTACAGAGTGAGAGAGAATCAGAGTTTCTGATTTACGCGCGTCTGCCGTTTTGGCTACTCTCTCTCTCAAAGCTGTTATTACGCTCGGCCGTACTCAGGCTCTTGCTAAGCTTCATAGTCAAATAAGTTAAGGGGCCAACTCGATTTGAATCTTGATAGCTTCAGCTATATTTCTTTAGTTAATCTTAGTTTTAGTTTAATTTTTAGTCAATTTTAGTTTATTCTTAGTCTTTAATAAGTTCAAGCCAAGTGTTGGCTTTGTTTGCACACTCCCAGGCAGGAGTTTGTTAAATCTTATTGGAATAATAAAGGGTTAGTTACCCTTCTATTTTTAATTAATATTTATGATTCTTCTATGTTTTTTGTTTCTTGTCACCGAACTTAAGCGATTATTCTCTTATCAAGTTCTTAAGATTCTTCACTTCCAACATTAACTTAGAATTACAAAGTGAGGAACTCTACAAATAATTGATATAAAAAACTTAGTGAGATTACCATTTATTGTATGATGTTCATTTAAAATTTAAAAAAACTTAGTGAGATTACCATTTATTGTATGATGTTCATTTAAAATTTATTGATATTTATGCATTATGTGTATTTATTTTTTTTTTTATATAGTTCCCTGGTAATGAAAGAATGTTGGAAACCTGTAAATTTGCGTCCATCAATGGATAAAATTGAGAAATTCTTAACTCACTTATATAACGATCGTCACAATCTGAAAATGATGGATTCATCGTTTGAGGAACGTTGGAATTCTTTGCAACCAAAATATATTGAGAGGAATTTTCCAGTTGTTGAGCCAATCACACTTAAATTTGAGAATGATTTTTCAGAAAAATTTGATATTCAAAACTATTCTTCTGATGGTGAGACATTTTCTTCTCTAGAAATGTCTTACGATATGCTTTCAAAAAATAATTTAAATAATTGCCTGTCTCCAAGCCTGAGGGTTTTAAATGGTAGCATTGATGAACTGACTGAAAATGATATATCTTCAAATAATATTTCTTTTGGACATGAAAAACTTGCAACTGATACAGCTTCTCTAACGTCAGATAAAGATAATTTGGAACAAGAAAACAACAATTTAGAACTTGATGACATAATTACACCTGAAGATATATCTGCAGCCATAAGAGACTTGGATTTGGTTCTTGCTAACCAAGGCTCTGATGCATCTAGGCAATCAACATTACAGAAATTGCAGAAAATTAACCATGACAAGAATAACGTATCTGTATTAGCAGAAAAACATAGTCATTGCTCATTTGTTTCAGAAGTAGCTACAGAAAGTAGCTCTGATGATTATCAATTAAATGGAAACGATGTTAATTATGAATGTCAGGAAAGAGAATCTACAGACTTTATGGTGTATAATTCAAGAAATAATAAATTCAATCTTGAAATTAACAACATCAAACAAAGTTCTAATAATTCCACAGTGCCATTAGTTACAGATGTCAATTCAAATAAAGTTGATCGTACATATGAAACTTCAAAGGAGTCTGAAGTGTTAAAAGAAAATTGGATTTGTAACAGTGAACATGTGTCAAAACTCAGTGGTATTGTCAAGACTGGACCTGACTTTCAGCATGCAGATAAAAATAAGTTAAATGAATTTGAGCATAAAATAATATTGGAAACTTTTGAGGACGACACAAATGATATAAAGCAGATAAACTTAGGTAAAAATCAGACACCACCTCTTGTTCCTGATATTATTGTGCATGAATCTCCATTAATGCCAGAAATTTCTAGTGATGAAAATAAGAGTGATGAGGATAGTGAAAATGTCTTTTATTCTCCAGATTGTCATAAAAGTTTTCGTTTTATTTTCAAAGAAGCTGATGATGTAAGCAATAAGAAATGCAATCAAAATGATACGTTTACTAATGGAGCTAAATGTCATGATATTCATGATGATCTAGCAGATATTCTGAAAAATAGTGGTAGAACACATCCATTAACAAGCACACCAATTAAAAGTTGGGAATCAAATAATGTAGATAATAGTCTGAAAAGTAGTTCTTTTTCACCAGAAGATTCTGAAAATGGATTTAGTGGGGAGATTGCAAAAGATTCTGAAAACAGTGTCAAAGATGGTTCAGAAATCTCTCTTAGTGAGAAAAATGTTATGCAAAGTTCTATAAATGGAAATATTAGTGTACAGGGTCATATCTTTGGACTAAAAAATGAAGATTTAACTGATCAGAATTTTTTCACTGCTGCACTGTCTTCAGTCTGTGACTATAATACTGACGGCAATTTGAGGTTTTCTTGTTCAAAAAAAAATAACAGTACAGAAGAAAATTATGTAGAACAAATAGGAAATTTTGCTTTGAAATCATGCGAAGAAGTCGAGAGGAATGAACATAAAGGTGATAATTTAAACCATATTCAGGTCACATCAAGTCACAGAGATACTGTAATTAAAGAATCTAGGGGTATGAGTAATGAAAAATTTTCCTTATCAAATCAGAATATGGCTATTTCAACAAATGATACAAGAATGTTTCATGATAATGTATACAAATCTGCTGATTGTGAAAACCATAAATATGTAGCTAAATCTGAGATATTGCCGATTCTTTCTTTTGAAATGGAAAGTGGTAATCTGGGGAGCTCAGATTATTTCTCTACTAGGAATAATTCATTTTCTGATGAGAACAAATCATTTGAAAATGATGATAATGCTAACTTGACTTCTGAAGCATGTGGTGTATATCAGTATGACTTAAAAACCTATTCTTCTCTTGAAGCAGTTCCTGATTCAGACATGTCTAAAAAGTCAGAATCTCATATGAAAGAAAATTCAAATGTATTATTAGCTAAGGTATTAGAAACTAGCTTTCCTGATACTACTTCTGATTCTTTTATTTATGAATCAGCCTCTGCAGATGGGTCAGATAATTTGAGAAATGATAAGTTGAGTTCTGATATTAGTATTTCAAGCTCCGCTGATGAAGGGTCATCAGGAGACCATGAGCTGAGCGAAGAAAAACAGTCAGCTAAAACAAAGAACCAAAATGTAAATGAATTAGATTCACCTATCCGTATGTATAATGAAGTTATAATGGAAGATTTAGAGACAGGAGAACAGACTGTAATAACAGAAAGTTTTTCTGGCTGTGATGATTATGAGAATTCTGCTGAAAGTGATGAAATACTAAAAATAAATATTGAAACAGACGAAGCCATCATAGTGGATTCTTCTGAAGCACTTGTTGGTTTTGTTCCTAGCAGATCAATAGAATTACTTCAAGAGTATGAAGTCATTCCAAACTTAAATCATTCATTTCATGTTGATGATGAAAAAGAATCATCTGATTCTAATTTGGATGGCTATAATTCTGCATCATCATCTCCAGGTAAAATATTTTAGCAATATTTTTTTATTATCTGTGTGTTACCAGCAATGTGTAAAAAGCAGGTATTTTATAAAATTTCTAGGATGTGAATATATAAAATGCCTGGCATTTTTTGTTGAAACAATATAAAAATTATATATACGAGGCATATTCGGAAACTAAGTACCGTTTTGAAAAAAATAGTAAAACAATTTTTTCGAAACTAATTTTATTTTTGCATGAAAATACATGTCTTAACTATTTTTCAACATAGTTTCCGCCAATGATCAAGCACTTGTCATAGTGGGTGACCAGTTTTTGTAGACCATCGTCAAAGAAACTTCCCGCCATTTTTGATAACCACGACACCACAGCATTTTTTGTGTCATCGTCAGATCCAAAGCGCTTGCCACCAAGCTCGCACTTCATGTGCAGGAACAAGTGATAGTCGGACGGCGCCAAGTCCGGGCTGTACGGTGGGTGATCGAACTGTCCCAATAAAACTGTCGAATTAACGATTGAGTGACACCAGCAGTATGGGGCCGAGCATTGTCATGGAGCAACACAATTCCTTTACTGAGCATTCCTCTTTGTTTGTTTTGAATGGCACGCCTTAGTTTTGTTAAAGTCTCACAATATCGTGCCGCATTAATGGTTTCACCTCTGGGAAGAAATTCAGTAAGCAAAACGCCTTTCCTATTCCAGAAGACAGTGCACATGATTTTTGTGTGATGACATTGTCACTTTAAACTTTTTTTGAGAATGAGATTTCGGAGAATGAGTGTGTCTCCACTCCATTGATTGTTGTTTCGATTCTGGTGTGAAATGACACACCCAAGTTTCATCACCTGTCACAATTTGGTTTAAAAAGTTTTCTCCCTCATCACTGTACCGCGTGAGAAATGTCAGGGCACTATCAAGTCGCTTTGTTTTGTGAACATCAGTGAGCATTTTTGGAACCCATCGGGAACACAGTTTGCGATAATTTAAGCGGTCAGACACAATTTCGAACAAAACAGTATGGGAAATTTGTAGAAATGCCTCAGAAAGAGTTGTCATTGTGAAGCGTCTGTTCTCATGAATTGCTTCATGAAATGAAAGATTTGCGATATGTCATGTCAGTTTGTATTTCATCTGAGTGTTGCTCATCTCTTCACAGAATTTGAAATTTCATTTTATATTATATATCAGACTTACATGCAAATAAACATAACTTGATGTTAAAAAAATTCGGTACTATTCCGTTTTGAGGACCGTAAAAAAATTTGCAGCGAAAATTTATGAGCAAAAGCGCCAAATCTAGCTTACACGCTGATTTAAAATTGTGTTAAGTTTAGATAGTTTTATATTTCTTAAGATGCCATTGAATAATTAGTTTAATTTTTAAATCCTTTTTCGATTTTAAATCCTTACCAAATCATTGGCGACAACAGAAGGCCGACCACTCCGAGCCTCGGCGTGGACATTTGTTCGACCTGCATTAAACATTCTTACCCACTTTCTCACCATTCCATCACTTATCGCGTATTCACCGTCCTCGGCGTGGACATTTGTTCGACCTGCATTAAACATTCTTACCCACTTTCTCACCATTCCATCACTTATCGCGTATTCACCGCAAACTTCTGTCACTTGAAGATAAATTTCGGCCAGTTTAACATTCCTTGCGTTCAAAAATTTAATCAGCGGGAGAACTAATTGTCTTAAACATTTTGAATGTGCACAGCAAACTGAAAACACAACATAGAGCAACCAAAATGGCAACAATTGAAAGTCAGTGAACAAGAAAGACTAGTGCGCATGCGCAGGATGCCTACCACACTGCTGCAACGGCGCTAGATTGAAACAGTACTTAGTTTCCGAATAAGCTACGTACTTTCCATAGCCACTGTATTTAGTACCTAGGCAAATAGAATGACAGGTACTATTTGGGTTAAGTGTAATCACGAAAAGGTTTTTATTGAAAAGACATGATGTAGAACTTGACAGCATTAATATCTTCTTCAACTGGATAAATCTATTTACTTTTGTTTTCTATGAATATTACCATAGTGATTTAGCAGCCAATACACATGTGATTCCTTCTTAGTACTTATGTTGGAATATCCCCCCCCCAACTTCTGGTTGATAATTTTGGTTAAGAAAACACTGTTTTTGTGGTGCTGCTTTGTCATGCATTACCAGTAACATATACTTTATCATCTGTATCAAAAGTTAAACCTAACAGTAATGATAAAATTCTCTAACAACTTATAAAATGATAATCATGTATGTTTTTTAAAAAGTTTTAAAATTATTGCTCAATTTTATATTAATTTGGTAATTTTTAGTTTATACTTTTTACATAAAAAGAAAAAAAGTGAGTATGTTTTAAAATTAAAATACTTTTTGGGTTGGTTTTTATTTTTATTATTTTAAACAGGTATTATTTTTATTCAAAAAAGGAAATGAAAGATTTGCGATATGTCATGTCAGTTTGTATTTCATCTGAGTGTTGCTCATCTCTTCACAGAATTTGAAATTTCATTTTATATTATATATCAGACTTACATGCAAATAAACATAACTTGATGTTAAAAAAATTCGGTACTATTCCGTTTTGAGGACCGTAAAAAAATTTGCAGCGAAAATTTATGAGCAAAAGCGCCAAATCTAGCTTACACGCTGATTTAAAATTGTGTTAAGTTTAGATAGTTTTATATTTCTTAAGATGCCATTGAATAATTAGTTTAATTTTTAAATCCTTTTTTGATAACCTGTGGATTTAACAATTTGGGAAATGCCCATGACGAAAAGTCTGCAATAGAATGTTTTCAAAGAAAAGGCATCATTCGTTATAGAAAATTATGTTTGAACAACCAGCGAGATGAAATTATGCTTTAGCGATAACTCGGTAGTCAAATAGCGATGCAAGAATCCATTCAGTTATGTTTAGCCTTTTTTTATATAAATTATAATAATGATCTTAAACAGTTATTTACTTTTATGCTTCCATTTAGTTATGTTTAGCCTTTTTTATATAAATTATAATAATAAAAAAATATTATATGAAATTAACCTTTCATCTAAATTAAAACAATAATCTTATATAGTTATTTCCTACTATACAGTGGTACCTCGCAATACGATCTTAATCCGTTCCTGGACCGGGATCGTATCGTAAAAAAATCGTATGTAATTTAATCGTAACAATGTAATCTTATGTAATTTAATTAATTCGTGCAACGCCCCATATATAAACACCAAAATCGTCTATACGTAATAATAATTAGTCACAAAATAGTATATTAAGTATCACATACACACAATAAACATTTATACCACATTTATAAATTAAAATAACCTTATAAATAAATAAAAAAGAAAAAGAAAAATTAATTTCACTTACCGTAAAGTACTGTACGGTCAGCGAGGGATAGTTTTTATTACGACACTGATACATTGCGCACAGCGTTTATAAAACTTAGACACAGTAATGAAAACTTAAAATTAAATTAAATTTCTTTTAAAATTAAAATTTCTTATGTAAAATTACAGACACAGTAATAAAAACTTAAAATCATTTTTTTTTTTTTTTTTTTTTTATAATTTTTATCTTTTGTAATTTTTTTTTGCTTTTCTTTTTTTTTAAACTAACTGAACTTAAATTTGAGGCGATACATCATCGTCTACATCATTGTCTTCACTTTCCTTTCTAGTTTTCTTACTAGAAACACTCGCTTCTTCACTTTCTGGGGCACTTCTCTTCGAAAAATATCTATCTAAAGAAGCCTGTTTCTGACGACTCTTCAAAATGTTTCGAAAATGACTCATACAAATGTCATTCACGTTGTCCATTGCACGAGCTGTACGCATTGTGCTTTTTTTCAATAAAACTGTTTAAGTTTTCAAACCAACCGATGGCTTCCCGTATTTCCGTAGATGTCAGTGCCACCTCCACCTCCTTCTCAACACTTGAATGATGTTCCTCTTGAAGATCGCTGATTTGCATCGCCTCCAAAGCCTTCAAGTCGTCAGTGTTGAGCTCCTCCTTGTGCTCATTGAGTAGGTTGTCAATGTCAGCCTCATCGACAACAAACCCCAAAGACTTTGACAGAGAAATAATCTCCTCCAATGGAGCAGGATCATCCACAGCTTCTTCTTCAGTAGGGATTTCGAAACCCTCAAAGTCTCGTTCTGCAACCACAGCTGCCCAGAGTTTCCTCCATGCTGAGTTCAAGGTGCGCCTTGAGACCTCACCCCATGCCTTTTCTATGATTTTTAAGCAATGAACAATGTCGTAGTGACTATTCCAAAACTCACGGAGTGTGAGTTGCGTGCTCTCTGTCACTTCGAAGCATCGTTTGAAAAGGTGCTTCGTGTAAAGCTTCTTAAAATTAGCAATGACTTGCTGGTCCATAGGCTGGAGGATGGAAGTGGTGTTCGGTGGCAGATAGAGCACTTTGATGAAGTCGAAGTCGGGATGTATCTGTTCTTCAAGGCCAGGAGGATGAGCAGGGGCATTGTCGAGCACAAGGAGGCATTTTAGAGGAAGACCATTCTCCTCTAAATATTTTTTCACTCCAGGTCCGAAGCAGCAATTAACCCACTCAACAAAGAAAAGCCTCATGACCCAGGCTTTGGCGTTGGACCTCCAAAAGACTGCGAGCTTATCCTTCGACACATTATGTGCCTTGAAGACACGAGGATTTTCTGAGTGGTATACCAGTAGGGGTTTTATTTTTAAATCCCCACTGGCATTCGCACATAGGGCAAGAGTAAACCTATCCTTCATGGGTTTGTGTCCAGGAAGTTTCTTTTCTTCTTCTGTGATGTATGTACGACGGGGCATTTTCTTCCAGAAAAGCCCCGTTTCATCACAGTTGAAGACTTGTTGAGGCATGTAGCCTTCATCGAGGATTAACTTTTTGAAGGCCTCGATAAATTCTTGCGCTGCTTTTTCATCGGCGCTGGCAGCTTCCCCATGCCTGACCATGTTATGTATCCCCGATCTCTTCTTGAATCATTCAAATTTTGCAAAC